AAAAAAAAAAAAAAAGAAAAAAAGAAATGGGGTGGCTTTTACATCAGTCCTTGACATATCCTCTGAGCCTTCCTTGGGCAGCCTCCAAGAATCACCATGTGAATGAACCACATTGGCTTTGGCTCTGGTAGAGATGGTTTTAGAGACATCCAAAAATCAACAAGAGAAAATGAAATGAAGTTGCCCTCTTTCCCACCAGTTCAAGGTAGGAGTTGGTCGTGATTTTTTCAGCTTCTCTCTGCTCATTAAGTATGTCTTTGCAGGATGTGTCTAGAAGCTAAAATCATGCTTCTGGCTATTTGTGGGAGCAGAAAAGGATAAAACTATGAGTCTGGTGCCCTGATTCTCTCTCTTGAGCTGAGCCTTTTGTAAAACAGATTTGGGGGCTAAGATTCTGCTTCATTGTGCCATTGGTGGTTGTCTTTTTTCAGAGAAGGGGAAGGAGATGCCCTGTTCGTGATTCCATATATCCAGCTGGGTGGGACATTACCCCCAAAAGCCAGGCCCAAAGTTCCTTCTTCTATAACTTCCGTTTAGCAACTTTAAAAAACAGAAACAACAACAAAAACAGCAGAACCTTTAATACAAAAGCTTCCCTGGCAATTTAATTTGTAGAAATAAACATAGAGTGACTATGTTTGCATCAAGTGTTATAGTTCCAGAGTGCTTTCTCCCCTCAACCCCACACGCTGCACGTGGCACATATACCGCATCAACTTTTGAAGGAAAAGAAATTCTAGGGCTTTGTAGAGCAGATTGAAAACCACCAAGTTAAAGCAATCCTGAAAATAAGCACCAGCCCAAGTACCTAGGTACTTAAACAAACAAAAAATCTAGGAATCTTAAGAAAGAGAACAGTTTTTTTTAGTCTTTGATGTTAAGGCTTCATTTTGTGAGAGAAATGGGACTAAAGGGAACAGCAAAGGGTTAACATTTCTGAAGTGCTGTTTAGTACTTTACGTATGAGAACCTGAGTAGGATTTTCTTCCACATTAAAATATAGTAACTTCCAGCCTAGGCAACATAATGAGACCCGTCTCTACTAAAGAATTTTTATAAAAATTAGCTGGGTGTGGTGGTGCGTACCTGTGGTCCTCACTATGTAGGAGGTAAGAGAATTGCTTGAGCTTGGGAGGCCAAGGCTACAGTGAGCCATGACTGTGCCACTATACTCCAGCCTGGGCAATAGGGAGAGACCCTGTCTCAAAAACTATAAAATGAAATAAAATATAAAATATTAATGTAGGAAACATTAATAAAGTGTGATTAACATTCATTTAGCAAATGTTTATCAGTCTCCACTGTGTACCAGGTACTAAACATAATGTGATAAACAAAAGGTAGACACTGCTGTCATGGAGCTTATAATAGTTGGGGAGATAGATAATAAGGAAGCAAACAGCCACAATAGAATGTGGAAGACTGTGAGAAAAAAATTAACTGGAGGGCTATAGTGGTGGATCTGCTTTAATATAGTAGTCAGAGAGAGCATCACTAAGGAGAGTCTACTTGAGTGGATGGGAAGGAACCAGCTGGGCATGGTGGCTTCTATTGTAATCCCGACTTGGGAGCTATAGGCAGGCAGATCACTTGAGCCGAGGAGTTCTAGACCAGCCTGGGCAACATAGTGAAACCCCATCTGTACAAAAAAAAAAAAAAATTAGCCAAGCCTGATAGCACGCCTGTAGTCCGAGCTACTCAAGAGGCTGAGGTGGGAGGATGGTGTGACTCCAGGAGGTCAAGGCTGCAGAGGATGTGGTAAGCTATATCGTACCACTATACGCCAGCCTGGGGGTGAGAGCAAGACCCTATCTCAAAAAAAATGAGACAGAAGCAAAGAGCTGGGGAAAGAGATTCCTGGCAGAGTACACAAGACCCCAGAAGCAGAAAACTGTGACCATGGAGCAGTGAGGCAGAGGAGGGACATTGATGAGCAGAGTCAGACTGTGCCAGGTGTCTCCCTGTAAGCCAGGTTAACGATAGGGATTGTGTTGCAAGCCCAGTGAGAAGCTCTTGAAAGGTTTTAAGTAGGGGAATGATGTGATCCATTTGTTTTTTGTTTTGTTTTGTGTTTTGAGACAGTCTCTCTATCACCCAGGCTGAAGTGCAGTGGCATCATCTCGGCCCACTGCAACCTCCACCTCCCAGGTTCAAGCAATTCTCATACCTCAGCCTCCCAAGTAGCTAGGAACACAGGTGCCTGCCACCACACTCAGCTAATTTTTGTATTTTTAGTAGAGCTGGGGTTTCACTATGTTGACCAGGCTGGACTTGAATTCCTGACCTCAAGTGATCCACCCGCCTCAGCCTCTCAAAGTGCTGGGATTACAGGCATGAGCCACTGCACCTGGCAATGATAGATTTGATTTAAATCATTAGACTTGCTATTTTATGAGGACTGCATTGATGAGGGCAAGAGAAGAAGTGGGAGACCAGTTAAGTGGCCAGACAAGTCCAGATGAGAGATGATGGTGGCTCAGATTAGAGTGGAGCCAAAAAAGATAGAATGAAGTGGATGAACCCAAGTTATATTTTTGGAGGAAGAATCAACAGGCCCTTCAGTGGATCAGATGAGGGAGAATAAAGAGACAAAGATGATCCTCAGATTTGTGGCTTAAGAGCCTGGGTGAATAATTGAGAGGAACAGGCTGGGTGAGGGGCAGGGAATAGACTTGGCTCTGCTTTGGACTTAAGTGTGAGATGTTTGGACATGGTAAGTCTGAGATGCTTATGAGTCATCAAGAAGAAATGGCAAGTAAGCAACTCAGGTTCAGAGGAAAGGTGTGGGCTGGAGAAGAAAAGCTTGAGAAGCGTGAGTGCAGATAGCACACGGGCGGCAGGGGTGGATGAGCTCTCGTGGGGGAACATTTAGAGAAAGAGGGATTAAGAGAAGAAATGGCTGGCAGATGAGCCCAAAAAGGAGCAGCTGGAGAAGTAGGAAGACATCCAGAGTGTGTCAGTCAGCTGGGTATAGTGGTACACACCTGTAGGCCCAGCTTCTCAGGAGACTGAGGCAGGAGGATCGCCTGAGGTCAGAAGTTTGAATTGCTGTGTGCCATGATCGCACCTGTGCATAGCCACTGCACTCCAGCCTGGGTAACACGGTGAGACCCATCTCTAAAAACAGAGAAAGGCCAGGCATGGTGGTTCACACCTGTAATTGGGATTACAGGGAGGTCGAGGCAGACAGATTACTTGAGGCCAGGAGTTTGAGACCAGCGGGGCCAATATAGCGAAACCCCATCTATACTAAACATACAAAAAATTAGCCGGGTGTGATGGTGTGCACCTATAATCCCAGCTACACGGGAGACTGAGGCTTGAGAATTGTTTTAACCCAGGAGGCAGAGGCTGCAATGGGTCAAGATTGTACCACTGCCCTCCAGCCTGGGCAACAGAATGAGACTGTCTCAAAAAAAAAAAAAAAAAAAACAGCTGGATGCTGTGACTCATGCCTGTAATCCCAGCACTTTGGGAAGCTGAGGCAGGTGGGGAACACCTGAGGTCGGGAGTTCGAGACCAACTTGACCAACATGGAGAAACCCCATCTGCAACAAAATTAGGGGGGCGTGGTTGCTCTTGTCTGTAATCCCAGCTACTCGGGAGGCTGAGTCAGGAGAATCGCTTGAACCCAGGAGGCAGAGGTTGTAGTGAACTGAGATTGCACCATTGTACTCCAGCCTGGGCAATGAGGCGAAACTCTGTCTCCAAACAAATAAAGAAAACAAACAAAAAAGAAAGCTCTAGGTGAGGTAATATTGATGTTGGTCTCCATCCAAGCTCCTGACAGAGCAGCAGAGCTGACCAGTATTAGCAGAATAGAAGACAGAGGTACCTCGATTAGCAGGGCGACAGCTTCCATAGGTCGGATTGGAAAGGTTTTCATGAATCTTGTGTCTTTTCCATCCCTTCCTCCCCAGAACAAAATTCAAGGAATCGTCTTTGATTTTGTCACGCAACAAGCCTTTGACATTGTTATCATGATGCTCATCTGCCTTAACATGGTGACAATGATGGTGGAGACAGACACTCAGAGCAAGCAGATGGAGAACATCCTCTACTGGATTAACCTGGTGTTTGTTATCTTCTTCACCTGTGAGTGTGTGCTCAAAATGTTTGCCTTGAGGCACTACTACTTCACCATTGGCTGGAACATCTTCGACTTCGTGGTAGTCATCCTCTCCATCGTGGGTGAGTGGGGTCGGGGAAGTACGCGAGGGGAAAAGGGACCTGACTGATTTTGAGGTTGAGATTTCCCAGGAGAGAAATGAATTATACAGGTCCGAAGTGCAGGCAGGATACCCTGCCTAGCAGATTCCATTGTCAGTGAATTTCTACTGCATGTTCTTAGTAGTCTTGGATTATAAATTCTGTGGCTCAAGGAAAAAAGAAAAGAAAGATTGGTTCTTGCTTTTAAAGAGTTTAAAGTCTAACAGGGAAGGTAAAAGAAAGTTGTCATTAAAGAATATAATGCAATAGAAGTATAAAATGAAATAGTCTAGTTAAGTTCTGGTGCTGATAGCCATGGTGGTGCTGCTATTACTGGCAGGGCTTGTTTACTGAGATTTTACTGTGGGCCAACTACAGTTTGAGAGTTTCTTCACCTGCGTTGTCTCATTTGATTCTTATTACATCCCAAGAAGCAAGCTACTTTATTATCCTGACTGTATAGATGTCCACAGTCACTCAACTAGGAGGTGGTGGAGGCATAACTGGAGTTGATCCCAAAGTCCATGTTTCTTAGCTGTGACTGTGTGCATCTTGCTTCAGCCTAAAAGTGTGGGGGGATGATGTCCTGGCAGGCAGGCAGAAGGAAATGCCACCCTGTTGATTGCCTTTCCAAATGTTTCCTTACCTTCCTGAAAGGCATCTTGTGTGATAAAACTCAACCTTGGTTCCAGGTAAGTTTGACTCATTTATACCCAAGACAGAGAGTGCTCAAGACCCATGGGGCCAGCCCCAGAGCTCCAGTGGCCATGCTGGGCCTAGTGAAATGGTGACTAAGGCACCAGCAGGCCAGGGTCTCCCCTTGGCCTGTGCCACCCTCTAGTTCTTTCCTCCAGAGCAGTATGTCCAAAAGTGTTGATGTGTGGAACACTAATCCTATACATTTCTCCCCAAGAATCTCATGAGGAAATTAGGTAACACACTGTACCTTGAATTTTCCTTTGGGGTTCACAGTGCACATTACTGAATTCTCTTGGAAGTCCTACGGTAAAGAATTCTGGGCTGGGTGCAGTGGTGCACGCCTGTAGTCCCAGCACTTTAGGAGGCCAAGGCAGGCAGATAACTTGAACCCAGGTGTTCAAGACCAGTCTGGGCAACATGACAAAACCCTGTCTCTATAAAAAAAATACAAAAATGAACCAGTCATGGTGATATGTACTTATGGTCCCAGTTACTTGGGAGACTGAGGTGGGATGATTGCTTGAGCCTGGGAGGTTGAGGCTACAGTGAGCCGAGATCACACCATTGCACCCCTGGATGACAGAGAGAGACTTTGTCCCAAAAATAAAGAAAAAATTCTGTTTAAATATAACATAGCATCTCACCTTTATTAGACCACAGTTTCCTTTTTTCAGTAATAATGACAGCTCACATTTTAATGGAACATCCTATGTGCCAGGTGCCATTGTAAGTGCTTTAAATATGTTAATTCATATAATCCTCTCAACAAACTTCTAAGAATCCTGAGGAACTAAGGCACAGAGAGGTTCCCAAGACATGTGGCTGGTAAGTGAGCAAGTGGGGGTTCAAGCCCAGCTTCTGGCCCCAAGTCCCATTCTCCTAACTTCTCACAAAACACACTTTGGACAATGCTGCCCTTGTCCACTGCTCTTGAAACTTTTCTAGCCACTCATCTTTGAGTGACACAGAAAATCTACAGACCAAATCATACCCCCCATTTTCAAATGGTACTCTAAAAAGAGGAAGATGTTTTCGATGATTGGGATTTTTTTTTAATATCCTAAATTTGTTCAGAAACAAAAGTATAGAAATCTTCTTTTTAAAGCAAGAGAAATGTATTAGGGTTTCTAGAGGGACAGAACTAATAGGATAGATGTATATATGAAAGGGAGTCTATTGAGGAGAACTAACTCACACGATCACAAGGTGAAGTCCCACGATAGGCCGTCTGCAAGCTGAAGGGAGCCAGTAGTGGCTCAGTCTGAGTCCCAAATCCTCAAAAGTAGGGAAGCCGACGGTGCAGGCTTTGGTCTGGCCAAAGGCCCCAGAACCCCTGGCAAACCACTGGTGTAAGTCCAAGAGTCCAAAAGCTGAAGAACTCGGAGTCTGATTTTCAAGGGCAGAAAGCATCCAGTGCGGGAGGAGATGAAGGCTGGAAGACTCAGCAAGTCTGCTGCTTCCATCTTCTTCTGCCTGCTTTTTCTAGCTGAGCTTGCAGCTGGTTAGATGGTGCCCACCCACACTGAGGGTGGGTCTTCGTCTCCCAGTCTACTGACTCAAAAGTAATGGCAAAAACCACAATTACTTTTGCACCAACCTAATCTCAGGCAACACCCAGAAACAATACTTAGCATCCTTTAATCCAATCAAGTTGACACTCTTAACCATCACAAGTCCACCCCTTGCTAACTTGAACCCATAGACATCTCCTGAAATCATACTTGATCTCCAAATAAATACAATAATGAGTTCATAATTACACCTAACATAATACAGCTATCCTTTATACAACCAGAAGCGCACTAAGCCTTAACCTAAATGCTGTTACGTAAAGTTAACAACAGGTAAATGCTGACATGAAGTCAACAAATCTTATGTTACATCATAAAGGAAAAAGAAGAGAACTAAAATGAAGATATTTTCCTAGTACAAGTGTATACATGCACAAACATATTCTTCACAAAATAAGGAGGAAATACTCATGACAGTGACAGTCCTCATTTCCGTAGCTGGTCACGTGATTGTCACTGGTATTGATGACTATCTTCTTCTACTACCCATTCTATATTCACTTTGCCTTCAGCAAGCACTACGACTGGTCCTGGTTTTTTTATCTGGTAGAGGGACCCAAACCTTCATTGCTGAAGGTTCTGGACCATTTGTGTCCTGCGTGGATTGGGCTGTTGTCAGTTTCCCATTGACCTTAATCACAGGGCATAATAATACTAAGAGACGCCCTAATGAATCTCCAGTATTCCATGTATACTCTTCCTTTCCTCAGTTGTGGAGTAGTAGACTGATTTCATCTTGATAGTCTAGGTCAGTCACCCTAGCCAACACTGTAACTCCCTTCTTAGCTTGTTGACTTAGAGGTAGGAGGAGCCCAAAGTGTCCATGTGGGAATCTTAACTTCTGGTTTAATGGAATTGTTATGTCTACTGGTGGCAGCATTCCTCCCTCTGGAACTAAGACCTCTAGGCCAGCAGAACATAATGTCGCAGTAACAGGAAGCAAAAATTTTGCTAGCAGGTCACTAGGGATGATGGTGAGTAGTGCCACTTTTACTTCCATCCCTTGATTCCTGGACCCATGAATCCTGGCTATGGGAGGAGCAGTCCCATATATTGGACGTTGATTCAGAGCATACTTGGCCTTCTGGAGAACTTTGCTCCAGCCCTGCAAAGTTTTGTTACCTAGTTGGCATTGTAATCGTGACTTCAAAAGGCCATTCCACCGCTCTGTCAATCCAGCTGCCTCAGGATTATGGGAACATGGTAAGACCAGTAAATTCCATGAGCATGAGCCCACTGACACACTTCTTTAGCTGTAAAGTGAGTGCCTTGGTCAGAGGCAATGCTGTGTGGAATACCATGGTGAGTCCAGAGATGGTAGTCTTGGCAGAAGCATTGCATGCAGGATGGGCAAACCCATATCCAGTGTCTGTTCTGGTAAGGACAAACCACTGCCCTTTCCATTATGGAAGAGGTCCAATATAATCAACCTGCCACCAAGTAACTGGTTGATCACCCCCAAGGAATAGTGCCATATTAAGAGCTCAGTGTTGGTCTCTGCTGCTGAAAAATTGGGCACTCAGCAGTGGCCGTAGCCAGGTCAGCCTTAATGTGTGGAAGTCCATGTTGGTGTGCCCATGCGTAACCTCCATCCCTGCCACCATGGCCACTTTGTTCATGGACCCATTGGGTGATGACAGGGGTGGCTGGGGAAAGAAGCTGAGTGGTGTCCACAGAATGAGTCATCCTATCCACCTGATTATTAAAATCCTCCTCTGCTGAGGTCACTCTTTGGTAAGCATTCATGTGGGACATAAATATCTTCACAGTTTTTGACCACTCAGAGAGGACCATCCACATACCTCTTCCCCAAATTTGTCACCAGGTTTTCAATCATCCTTCTTCCAAGTCCCTGACCATCCAGCCAAATCATTGGTTACAACCCATGAATCAGTATATAATCGCATATCTGGCCATTTCTCCTTCCATGCAAAGTATACAACCAGATGCACTACTCAGAGTTCTGCCCACTGGGAAGGTTTCCCTTCACCACTGTCCTTCAGGGATGTCCTAGAAAGGGGCTGTCATGCTGCAGCTGTCCACTTTCAGGTGGTACCTGCATATCATGCAGAACCATCTGGAACCAGGGCCTAGTCTTCTCTTCCTCTGTCAACTGATCATAGGGAACTCCCCATGAGGCCATCAGTGCAGGCTGGGGGAGAGAAGGCAGGGTGGCATGGGTGGGGAGGGTGGACCATGGGCATTTGAGCTACTTCCTCATGTAACTCGTGTGCCTTCAGGACCTGCTCGAGCCCAGTCACATGCATACCATTCCCATTTGATGATGGAATGCTGCTGTATGCACCCAACTTTATGGCTGTCTGGGTCAGAGAGCACCCAGTTAATGAGAGGCAGTTCAAGTCACATGGTAACTGGTTGACCCATGGTCAAATGTTCAATTTCTACAAAGGCTCAGTAACAGGCCAAGAGCTGTCCCTCAAAAGGAGAGTAATTATCTACAGAAGATGGCAGGGCCTTGCTCTACAATCCTAGAGACCTCTCCTGTGATTCACCTATGAGGGCCTGTCAAAGGCTCTAAACAGCATCCCTATCTGCCATGGACACCTCAAGCACCATTGGATCTGTTGGGTCATATGGCCTAAGTGGCAGAGCATCTTGCACAGCTGCCTGGACCTATTGCAGAGCCTTCTGTTCTGGTTTCTACTCAAAACTGGCAGCCTTTTGGGTCACTCAATAAATGGGCCAGAATAA